GGAGACTGGAGAGACATAGAGGGGGAGACAGGAGAGACATAGAGGGGGAGACTGGAGAGACATAGAGGGGGAGACTGGAGAGACATAGAGGGGGAGACTGGAGAGACATAGAGGGGGAGACTGGAGAGACATAGAGGGGAGACTGGAGAGACATAGAGGGGAGACTGGAGAGACATAGAGGGGAGACTGGAGAGACATAGAGGGAGAGACTGGAGAGACATAGAGGGGGAGACTGGAGAGACATAGAGGGGGAGACAGGAGAGACATAGAGGGGGAGACTGGAGAGACATAGAGGGGGAGACTGGAGAGACATAGAGGGGGAGACTGGAGAGACATAGAGGGGAGACTGGAGAGACATAGAGGGGGAGACTGGAGAGACATAGAGGGGGAGACTGGAGAGACATAGAGGGGGAGACTGGAGAGACATAGAGGGGGAGACTGGAGAGACATAGAGGGGGAGACAGGAGAGACATAGAGGGGGAGACTGGAGAGACATAGAGGGGGAGACTGGAGAGACATAGAGGGGGAGACTGGAGAGACAATAAGTCAGAGAGAAAGACTTGAAACTTGACAATATTGCGGACTATAATAAGTGAATCTGATATGTCACTTTCAGGTAATAAACTTTCAGGTTGTTCCCTTTGTGTATTTTCCTACTAAAGCACTTGTTGACAAAGTGTTGTTTACTTTATTTCATTTATATTTGATCCAAAAATTTTCCTTTATTGTTCGAAAAGTATGTTTTACAGGGGGGAAGATTGCGGATTGCTTTTGAACTGTTTCTCCAACAAACTCTAAATAATGGAAGTCTGTCCATCTGTAAAATGTCTGAAGTAGTGCCTGCTTCAGCTTCTGCTTCTGCTTCAGCTTCAGCTTCAGCTTCTGCTTCAGCTTCAGGCGTCTTCTACCCTGGTCTTATCCATCCATACTCTCCGGTCAATCATCATTTCACTGCATGTAACGTCTGAGTCTGGTCTTTGTGTTTGCGATTACAATCGGTTGAATTCCATCCGACCAATCAGAGAGCGGGTGTTGTAGTTAGATGTGGGTGACGTCGAGAGTTTGTGTCGAACGGGCAGGTTGTAGTTTGGTGAAGAATGCGATAGTAAAGTATTCTGGTCTGGTTCTATTGAGAAATTGAAGGCGGAGCAAGAGGAATGTTTAGCTAATTTAATCGCTGGAAAAGATTGTGGCGCTACTCCCCACGGGCTCCGTTAGCGGCAAAGGAGATGGCTAAAGCTAGGCTAAATGCTAACGAGTCACTCGGGCGCAATACATACGTGAGGGTGAACTAATATCCAATCGTTTCAATCTGCAAAAGCAGTTAACCCCTCCCACCTGTTAACCGAGCACCATGGAGCACCTCCAGACCGTGGTGTGGTACGACCAGGCTAAACGTCTTCTAACAGAAAAGAAAAAGACACTTGTCAGCAGCTTCTATTGGTGCAGATGTTTTCTTCTCTGCTGGTCTCGCTGTGGCAGAGTTTAAAAACAAAACACATTTAATTTTAGGTTAACACACAATGCAACGTGACTGACCTCTGTACCGAGTCAAATATTAGTCCGGTTTTAGTTTGAACGCCTTACATTACCAGGTTTCAGCAAACAGCACTACATTAAAGGGATTACTTTACTTTTGTAGTGATCCAAAGAGCGTTTTGTGGCATCTGAACGAATTCTTTGAAAGCGATCAGAGCGGTTTGATGTGGCGGCGGCGGCGGTGGCGGCGGCCTCGGTCAGCGCTGAAGCCTCGGAGCAGAGAATACAGGCAAAGGCCAGGATTCCACAAGTGTTTTTAGTCGCACAAATACGAGTAAATAGGGTCCTGAAGTGAATGTAACTGGTATTCTCTCCGAACAGCCTTCAAAGCCCTCGGACAGACCTCTTTGCCCCCGCCGCTCCCCCCTCCTCCCCCCCCCCCCCCCTCGTCTACATCGAGTTGTGCTAACATTGCTTCAAACCGGGGCAATCCTTTCTCTTTCATTTCGCACCTTTAGATTCTTGCTGTGAATGTGGATCATTGAACTATCCCCTTTGCGTTCCCTGCGTCTTTCAGCTCTCGTTACTGAAGCACAAGTGGCGTTTGTCGGCAGGATGTGTTGGTGAAAAGTGCGCCAGTGCATTCTAACCCTGAAAGACCCTCCGATGGAGCATTCATCAGGACCAGAAGGAGGGGACCGCGGTTTGTTTGTCAGTGTTGGCATTAAGCTGGGAGGCTTTGTGGTGGGGCCTAAAGAGCCCGACAGGAGGGCCCCAGCTGTACAGGCCGCGGAGACTTATGAGCCTGTTAGAGCAAAGGGGCAAAGCTTTTAGGACGTCTGAGGAACAGATACAGCTTCATTTGAAGTCTCCAAACAAGTTCAAACAATCAAAGTATCTGTTAGTTTGACGGATGTAATGCTTTAGGTCGATCTAATGTCTCTGAAAAACATTTATTGGATTGTTTTGGGGATTTTTTTTAAGACCTGTTTCGTTGCCAACACAGGAGTCTAAGGACAGTGTTGATGGTCCAGGACACTCCACATTCCACGACACGACATTTATCAACCTTTGTCGGCCTCTGCCCCTTTTTTATATCTTCTCTGATCTGTTGTTGGAGAATCGACGGCTTTATAAAGTCCTCCGAGATAACTACTACTATTTAGGGCAAATCAGGACAGAATTGAGTTGAATTTCACCAAAAGAAATGTGTTTTGGACTGTTGTGGTGAGGAGGGAGCAGCGTCTGCAGTCAGAGCTCTATCAGACTGTTGTAGTGAAGAGGGAGCAGCGTCTGCAGTCAGAGCTGCATCGGACTGTTGTGGTGAAGAGGGAGCAGCGTCTGCAGTCAGAGCTGTATCGGACTGTTGTGGTGAAGAGGGAGCAGCGTCTGCAGTCAGAGCTCTATCAGACTGTTGTGGTGAAGAAGGAGCAGCGTCTGCAGTCAGAGCTTTATCAGACTGTTGTGGTGAAGAGGGAGCAGCGTCTGTAGTCAGAGCTTTATCAGACTGTTGTGGTGAAGAGGGAGCAGCGTCTGTAGTCAGAGCTTTATCAGACTGTTATGGTGAAGAGGGAACAGCGTCTGCATTCAGAGCTGTATCGGACTGTTGTAGTGAAGAGGGAGCAGCGTCTACAGTCAGAGCTGTATCGGACTGTTGTAGTGAAGAGGGAGCAGCGTCTACAGTCAGAGCTGTATCGGACTGTTGTAGTGAAGAGGGAGCAGCGTCTGCAGTCAGAGCTGTATCGGACTGTTGTAGTGAAGAGGGAGCAGCGTCTGCAGTCAGAGCTGTATCGGACTGTTGTGGTGAAGAGGGAGCAGCGTCTGCAGTCAGAGCTCTATCAGACTGTTGTAGTGAAGAGGGAGCAGCGTCTGCAGTCAGAGCTCTATCAGACTGTTGTAGTGAAGAGGGAGCAGCGTCTGCAGTCAGAGCTGTATCGGACTGTTGTAGTGAAGAGGGAGCAGCGTCTGCATTCAGAGCTGTATCGGACTGTTGTAGTGAAGAGGGAGCAGCGTCTGCAGTCAGAGCTGTATCGGACTGTTGTAGTGAAGAGGGAGCAGCGTCTGCAGTCAGAGCTGTATCGGACTGTTGTAGTGAAGAGGGAGCAGCGTCTGCAGTCAGAGCTGTATCGGACTGTTGTAGTGAAGAGGGAGCAGCCTCTGCAGTCAGAGCTGTATCGGACTGTTGTGGTGAAGAGGGAGCAGCGTCTGCAGTCAGAGCTCTATCAGGCTGTTGTAGTGAAGAGGGAGCAGCGTCTGCAGTCAGAGCTCTATCAGGCTGTTGCAGTGAAGAGGGAGCAGCGTCTGCAGTCAGAGCTCTATCAGGCTGTTGCAGTGAAGAGGGAGCAGCGTCTGCAGTCAGAGCTGCATCGGACTGTTGTGGTGAAGAGGGAGTGGAATGCAAAGCTCTTGTCGTACGTCACCTCCTTCATCTCTGGTCCTGAACTTTGGGCAATGACCAAAAGGACGAGATGTCGGATAAAAGAGGTTGAAATGAGCTTCCTCTGCAGCGTGTCTGGGCGCTTCTTTAGAGAAAGAATGAGGAACTCTGAGTAGAGCCGCTGTTCCTCCACGTCGAGAGGAGCCAGTTGAGGTGGCTCGGGCATCTGTTTGGGATCCCTCCTGGACGCCTCATGGGGAGGAGACCAGAGGAAGACCACCTCAGGATTCCCCCAGATGAGCAGGAGGAGGTGTTTGAGGAGAGGGGAGTCTGGGCATCTCTGTTTAGAACTGATCTCGTGAACCAGCATCCGGTAAAGCAGATAGAAAATAGACTGATAGATGTAACTTTTGTGATTCTGTGTAGTTTGTGTTTGTCTTTAGGAGGCTCTGAGAAGCTTGAATGATCTTGCACTTGTTATTGACCTTTTTATTGATTGACAAGTGACAAGTTTGTGTAAGCTCCAGGTTGCTCACCCATCACCTGGAAAACCTTGTCTTCTTAGCAGAATTAAACTGTTTCTTCTTTACCAGACTATATAAGGTTTTGTGATGTTACTCTTATTATTATTGTTATTATTACAAAACATGTCAAGGTAATAACATCACATAATCTTACATTGTCGGGTAGAGAAGAAACGATTCCTTTAAACCTGCTTCCTGAAGAGCAGACGATGGGTGAGCAGCCTTCCTTCGTTTCACATGGATAATTACTGATTGTTCTTTTCATGCATTTGTAAAGGTATTCCAATGTGGTTTTACTGGAAATTGCAGATAAACTAAATCTGAATTCTGACGTTGCTCTGTCTTTTGAAGCGACTTGAACACGTTTTGGTTCACGGCGACTTTAGATGAAGTGTTCGGAAGCTCATCCATCACCGCGGCCCGCAACACATTCTACCGCTGTGACAGGAGCAAAATAGAAGCACGGCCCCGGACCCCTCTCTCTGTCTACAGGTCAACTCTGTCTGCCATCTGCCGGCGCACACACACACACATACACATACATACACACACCCACGCACGCACACACACACACACACAGAGAGGAGGGGCCCTGCCGTGACCCCGACAATAGAAGCCATTGTCTTGCTTTGTACCCCACCAGATAATTTGTCAAGCAATGTCAAATAATGTCAAATACTGTCACAATGCCACGCGCTTTTGGCCCCTGAGAGTGAGGGGCCAATCCCTGGTCATCTGTGTGTGGGAGTCCGGCGTGGCCTCCAGAGCGAGAGAAGGGGCCGTAACGTCTGCACATCAGGGACATTTTAGAAAAAGCAAGAGGAACAATATTAGACTTGTGGGCTGGACCTCGTTCCCGGTTTGGGAGTCACCTCAGTCCTGGGTCTACAGCCTCAGTCCTGGGTCAACAGCCTCAGTCCTGGGTCTACAGCCTCTGTCCTGGGTCTAAAGCCTCAGTCCTGGATCTACAGCCTCAGTCCTGGGTCTACAGCCTCAGTCCTGGGTCTACAGTCTCAGTCCTGGGTCTACAGTCTCAGTCCTGGGTCTAAAGCCTCAGTCCTGGATCTACAGCCTCAGTCCTGGGTCTACAGCCTCAGTCCTGGGTCTACAGCCTCAGTCCTGGGTCTACAGCCTCAGTCCTGGGTCTACAGCCTCAGTCCTGGATCTACAGCCTCAGTCCTGGGTCTACAGCCTCAGTCCTGGGTCTACAGCCTCAGTCCTGGATCTACAGTCTCAGTCCTGGGTCCACAGCCTCAGTCCTGGGTCTACAGCCTCAGTCCTGGGTCTACAGCCTTAGTCCTGGATCTACAGCCTCAGTCCTGGATCTACAGCCTCAGTCCTGGGTCAACAGCCTCAGTCCTGGGTCTACAGCCTCAGTCCTGGATCTACAGCCTCAGTCCTGGGTCTACAGCCTCTGTCCTGGGTCTAAAGCCTCAGTCCTGGATCTACAGCCTCAGTCCTGGGTCTACAGCCTCAGTCCTGGGTCTACAGCCTCAGTCCTGGGTCTACAGCCTCAGTCCTGGGTCTACAGCCTCAGTCCTGGGTCTAAAGCCTCAGTCCTGGATCTACAGCCTCAGTCCTGGATCTACAGCCTCAGTCCTGGGTCTACAGCCTCAGTCCTGGGTCTACAGTCTCAGTCCTGGGTCTACAGCCTCAGTCCTGGATCTTAAGCCTCAGTCCTGGGTCTTCTCCAATCTGTCGTTGGCAAATCGACTGCTGTTGTGATTTAGGGCGACACAACAATAACTCATATTAAATGGAAAGTATGAGATGATCCTGGTTCTGTTAAAATGTCTCGTTCACTATTCTCAGGACACTTTTTTCAGCACATACAAAATCAACCCAACTTTAATGATTATAATGTGAGTTTCTTCTCTCTGTCTTTTGTCCATGCCCAGCACCCGTACCCCTCCGAGGAACAGAAGAAGCAGCTCGCACAAGACACAGGCCTCACTATTCTACAAGTCAATAACTGGTAAGCTCCCGCCTCATTATCGGCAGCGGCATCCATCAAACCTCCGCCATTGATTTCTCCGTTTTGTCTAATAAATAATAAAGAAGTGAGAATTGAAAATGACATAGATCCTCTGCGTTCCCCCGAAGAGAGAAACCGACGAACCCTTTAACTTTATCAAAGCCTGAGGCCGTATCATCGCCGCGACCGCCTCCAGAGACCCGCGGATCGCTAATGAAAATCCAATGTTTTCCTTTTATGCAGAATCCAATAGAAATGCTAATATTTGTTTTAATTGCTGTGTTTTTTCTTGCAGGTTCATCAATGCCAGGAGAAGAATAGTCCAGCCAATGATCGACCAGTCCAACAGAGCAGGTAACAGACTCAAGACAGAAAGAAATGGCGGCAATTGGGTAGTTTTGCTTTTATCAACAGTAGAAAGTGATGAAAATAAGTCAAAAATTTATAAAACTTGGCAAAAATGTATCTTTATTTTCAGCACATTTTGAGCCTTGAAAACAAGATTCTCCAATGGGACACTGCCAAATGCTCTGGTTTTGAAATCTCTTTCCTTACTATCAATAATGTTTGTTTATTTCGAGAAAATAAGTGGACAAGAAACTAAAGCAGAATATCAAAATGATCAAAATTGTGCGAAAATAACCCTGAGTTACATTTACATAATACACAATAATAAATATTGCATACACAAGAGAAACAGTACAGATACTCGAAAAGGAGAGGGAAGAAGAAAACTTGTCTAATCTCAAACCTGGTGTCTGAATTTAATGATTTTTTCACTGTTTTGTATCTTTTAACCCTATGCTTGTATGATTGCGAGCAGCTGTTCAGGTTTTAAACTAACAATGAATGGGTTTAAGGACATTTACAGACAAGATACATTTTACAAGGATGCAAAACAACTGCATGAGGAAAATACCAGCAACGGTAAAGGACATGATACAGGTGCTAGCTAGATGCTATGCTAAAACTGCCTTGCTTTCTGTCAGAGTGCCTCAGGGCAGGAGTGGCTACAGTATTAGTGTATGTGAAGCGTCTTTGAGAGTCCGAAAAAAAGGACTGCATAAAAACCAATGCATTATTTTTCTTTTAAAAGACTGATTCTGCGTTTTGTAAGATAAATGTCGGTGTAAGCGTTGAACCTTGTCTCGTTTGTGTTGCAGTGAGCCAGGGCACAGCGTACAGCCCTGACGGACAGCCCATGGGCGGGTTTGTCCTGGACGGTCAGCAGCACATGGGCCTGCGACACGGAGGTAATCCTGGTTCTAGACGGACAGCAGAGGGGGGTGTAGGGGGGTGTAGGGGGGTGTAGGGGTGAAGGCGGGCCCCTAACTGTGTGTGTGTGTCCCCTCCACAGGACCCATGGGCGGCATGGGCATGAACATGGGCATGGACGGCCAGTGGCACTACATGTAGAGCGGGAGGCAGAGGCACGCCGACAACAGGGTAACAACGTGAGTACCACACTGTAAACCCTGACAAGTAAAGTTTACTTGAAAAAACCATGGAAATAAATTGCGTATTAACTTCACTTGAATTCCTCGAGTACATCGTTTACTTGATATTACCAAGTAAACTCAGGTGATTGCAATAAAGTTTAAATTTCTTCTTATGATCCGACCGGGATTCGTACTCAGAACCCTGTAGTTGAGAGGTGAAGGTGCTACCCACTCAGCCCCCGGGCCACCCTGCCACTGTCACACCTGCGTCATGGCGGCACGGTGGCTGAGTGGATAGCACTCTCGCCTCTCAGCAAGAAGGTCCTGGGTTCGAATCCCGGTCGGACCAGGGCCTTTCTGAGTGGAGTTTGCATGTTCTCCCCGTGTTTCCTCCGGGTGCTCCGGTTTCCCCTACCACTAAAAATATGTCCAATAGTTCTGGCATGTGCCTCCTGTACTGGCCCCGCTCCCATCTCTGTGTGGAGTGAGAGACAAATGCCCAAAATTAACAATTGTAAACCGCTTTGAGACTCAGATCTGCAGTGAAAAGGCGGTATATAAATAAAAACTTACTTACTTACTTAAAGACTCTACACATCAAAATGTCAAAAGTGAGGCTTACTTGAAGAGAAACAGTTAAATTCAAAGAAAACCCTGAGTGACATAGGCAAGCTTTAAATAAACTAACAATAAATGAGTAATATCTACTTACTGGGAAAAATCTATTTAAAATAACTTTGATATATCTGAAGTAGGATTGAAGTTAGGGTTTACAGTGTTGCAGGGCTGGGAATGGGGAAACTCCTGGTGATTGGAAAGTGTTGTGTTTTTGGGCCACAATTCAATGTTTTTGTCCAACTCTTCTGTCACATTTATCAATCAATCAATCAAAGTTTATTTGTATAGCACTTTACAACAACACCAGGAGGACCAAAGTGCTTCACAGAGAGATTAAAACAATTTAAAACGCAAAATGAAAACAACCAAGACACAATTCAGTGTGCCCTAAGTATTAAAAGCAAGTTTAAAAAGATGAGTCTTTAATCTGGACTTAAAAAGGGACAGGTCCGTGAGAACACGCAGACTGAGTGGCAAGCTGTTCCACAGTTTAGGCGCTGCAACCCTGAAGGAACGTTCGCCCCACTGTTTGTAGTGGGACCTGGGCACATCCAGAACCATTTGATTGGCAGACCGGAGAGCTCTGCTGGGGCGATGTACGGTCAACAACTCAGTTAAATATAACGGAGCGAGACCATGAAGAGCTTTAAAAACAAGCATTAACATTTTAAAATCAATCCGAAAACGGACCGGGAGCCAGTGCAGGGAGGAGAGGACAGGAGTGATGTGGCTGTATCTAGATGAACCGGGGAGAAGACGGGCTGCTGCATTCTGCACCAACTGTAACCGGTTGAGTGACGACTGTGGGAGGCCAGAGTAGAGAGCGTTGCAATAGTCCAACCGAGAACTGATAAATGCGTGCGTTGCCTTCTCGAGGTCTTGGCGTGAGAGAAAGGGCTTCACCTTGGTCCACATTTATTATGGTCTGTGCCTGAGCTGAAGCAAACACTGAGGAGGGAAGTGTAAAAACTTTATCCTTGATCATTCAGGACATCGTATTACAGACAGGACATAAGATAAGATAAGATAAGATAAACCTTTATTAGTCTCACAGTGGAGAAATGTCAGTGTCATCGTTGCACATTACAGCAGAGAAAGGAAATAAGAGCACTCAGATTGCACACATCAAAGTCTATTATTTAAGATAATAGACAATAAATTTAAGATAAAATAAAATAAAATAAAATAAGAAAATCTGGGCTACAATTGCACTTGGTTCGGAGTATTTACAGATGTCTATATTATACATTAGCATTGGAGAATATGAGAATATGAGCAGAATAAACATCAGAAATAATATCAACAGGTAAAGTGACTTGAATGGGAGAATTATCAGATGGATATGAATAATACAGTAAGATATCAACAGGTAAAGTGACGGTGGAAGGCAGAATTATCAGATATGAAATAATCATTAAATTAAACATCATTAATCTCTGAACAAGCCTCTCACACTCTGCAAGAAATGGTAAAATATGAGGTAATAATTGCTTGAATCTTGTGCTTTTTATCTTAATTTGAGCTCATTCTGACTGTGTTAAAACGAGATTTGACACTTCACCAAAGACAGTTCCAGAACAACGCTCTACCTTGAAGCTGGACTTTATAAAACCTGTGTTATCTCCAACGATAAAAGAGGCTAACGAGGATCTGTGCAGTGCAACTAACTCGCCGTGTTCTAAATGTTAACTCATCGACTGCCAGCCCTTTTAGATGATTTCACTGATTTTCAAGACAACACAGAATAGGATGTGATATGACTATGTGAAATATGAAACCAGATTCTGAAAGACTGGACTGTCTACTTTCATTGGCAAAAATAAGTTTTTTTCTGGCTATTTTTGTTCTCCTGTAATCCCCAGTGGAATAGAGGGAAGTTTGACAGCAATCACCGGTCTCAGACAAATACATCAATGGCCGTCAATGGACATAATTAGAGTCTGATTCTGGATCGAGGACTTAGGGCTCTATGTGGTGGATTGCCGTTGTTAGAAAAGATTTATTCTCAGGTCTGAAATGATTATGTAGCAGCGAAAACTCACTCGTTTCCATTGAGCTGACATCACCTCTATGCAAGAAATAGCCATAGTTTGACAGTTTTGAGTGCTGTAGTGTCTCACCCAAAGTATTATCACAAGCCGTATGCTAAAAGTTAACAAAATAATTAGCGTCTGATTCTGGATCGAGGACTTAGGGCTCTATGTGGTGGATTGCCATTGTTAGAAAAGTTGATCAGGTCTGCATTGATTATGTATAAATTGACAAGTTTTGAGTGTTGTATCACCCAAAACACTATCCCACAAGTGCTTGGGACGGACTGTGAAACATGAAGAAGAGCCTACACTGCAAAAAATGATCAAATATGAGATCATAATTGCTAGAATCGAGTTTTTTTTAACTTGACTTAAGTTCATTCTGACTGTCTTAAAATGAGATTGGCCAATGAGACAAGCAATTCTGACTTGATTCAAGAACTATTGCTTTATTTTCTCATTCCAAGCGAGAAATATCTTGTATCTTTTTAAAACAAGACAATTTTTCTTGTTCCACTGGCAAATCTTGTTTTAAGGCAGTCAAAATGTGCTCATATTTAGATACATTTAGCCAAATTTGAGCATTTTTTTGTCTTTAATTCTGTCATCTTTTGCAGTGTAGTGTAGGACTTTTACGGAAAAAATGGCTACGACAGACAACGGCACTATTATAACACTGTAAAACAGAACATGAAATCATAAATCTGCGAGGGATAACACATGTCTTCTTTAGGGTCCACTCTATAATCTTTATCGTCTGTAATCTAGTCATAAAGTTTTAGACGGTGCAGTTAGACGACTTTTCCAGGAGGTATTGAATTTAAGCGCTGGACAATGATCCCGGTCTCACACTCTGTCACGTAAACCTGACAGGACTAATGTTTATCAGACACGCAGCGGCTGTAAAACGCCTGTGGTGGACAATAACCGAGAATATGTTCCTCTATAAATTATTACGGCGCAGTAAGAGTTTTATGACGGCGCTTAAAACATTAGTATCAGTCGTACAGGAGACTGTAAATCTGTAGAAAGGGAAAAAAGCGGAAGTGAACGAACGAAAATTGTCAAAATCGCAAAGACTAATGTGTATGTATGTGTGGAGTAGACTGACAGAGTGTGACATCACCAGAGTGTTAGCCTTAAAGCAGAAGAAGCCAATTTGAACATAAGCTAGCTGGAGTCAATGTCCTTATATGGGCGTTTGTTCCGACGGCGTTCACTTTGCGCCGTAACAGAGGCAGTTGTGTTGCTATGACGGTTGCTAAGGCAAGCTGGAGGTTCAATACTCACATGGCTCATATCTGGATTTACAAAGACAACATCAAAATATAAACACCAGGATCACAAAGAGAGATAAAACATGCATTTTTTAGCCCAAAATACTGAGTGTGACGCAGACAGAAACTGAGCTAGAGGAGTTTACTTTTACACGTAAGTTAATAGGAGTCAGAGCAAGTTGGAGCAAAACTACGTCCATGAGCACTTTCCTATTGGGTTTAATTGAGCTAGCGGGTTAGCATTGTCCATCTGTATACAGTCTAAATGTAAGCTTATGGATAGGAGGAACAGGAGGAACATGTCAGACCTATTGTACATTATTTTATTTTAATGGTAGGAGGAAACCTACACATGGAGGATGGAGGAAACCTAAACAGAAACGAGGAGAACATGCAAACTACAGAGAAAAGGTGGAATCGAGACCACTGAACCATCAACCACTGTGCCTCTTAACCTCTATGATTAATAACTTCTTAACAAGATCATTTTGCTTTTGTCCCATCGGTGAATCTTGTTTTGAGGCTCAGTCGGAATGAGCTCGGATTAAGACACATTTCGCCAAATTTTAGACATTTTTGATTATTTTTTTGCAGTGTGGTCCATCAGGGGCAGAGAGCAATGTCCATAAATGTTAGAAAAGTCCATAATATTGTTGAATGTTGAGTGCCCTGGAACTCAGTAACTGACCATCTCTCATGAACAAAAACCCAGTGGGAAAAAGTGATAAATAAATATTCCAGCCACCAAAAGAAAACACACGTCGTAGTTATACAAAAA